CCTCTTTGTCTCTCTTGTTGCCGAGTTCGATAAGAAGCGGTGAGTGAAAAGGTGGCGATCGGTGGCGAAAAGATCGGGAAACATTGAAACCCCTTTCGTTCGTTGCCGTGATGACGAAGGACGATCGTCTAGATAAATTTATCCACCTTTCGTCCATATTGTCGATCTATATGAAATTCTCGATAAAGATATAACGGCCGATTCTGACTAATTCGCTATAGCCGAGCAGCTTGCTGAGATGAAAACAGGGAGAATTGGTAAGTCGATATCTATATAAAAAATATGCCACTTTGACGTGAGTGATTGTATTAATTTCTTAGCCATTCGGCCAACCTATTGCTATTTTATTCCAGTAAAAACATTCCATTGAATCTCGACCGTTATACCTTAGACCAAAATAGTTGAAAATGTGCATTGTTTTTTTATCCTATTAAAAAAAAAAAATTATTTACAATTCGTCATAAAAATCGAGTGATATACATGATATGATGGTAAATTTTGAATTTTCAATCAATGTGAATGAATTTTAGATACAGTATTTCTTAAACAAGTCTTAATGTATGAAAAAAAAAAAGAATAAAAGAAAAAAGAAGCTTACACACATATATATATATATATATATATATATATATGTATATACTTTTTAAAGCGTCGGCTAAATTTATAACGAAAGCCTATGCTGAGAATTCCAATAAATTTGGAGACATTCCACGAGAAATTTTATCGGAATAAGAATGTGGGGTGTGAAAATGCCTGACAAATATTGCTAAGTGAGTGGCATAAGTGACATCGTCCCAATGTTTGTCTATGTATCCAAATGCTGGAAAATGTCGAAGAAAAAGAAAACAAACTGCAGCCCCATTCTTTGTTTTCTTTTTGTTTTCAATTTTTTTTTTTTTTTTTAATAAAATTAATAATTATTTCAGTATTAGAAAAATAAATGGCATTGTACATTTTCGATATCCTAAAATAATATTATCAATATTATAAAATTAGCGTAAGCTTGGATAGCTCACGGAATTGAATTTTACCCCACTTGTACTTGTTGCGGTATAATTTTATTTTATGTAAAAACATCAATTTCAACTGAATAAAGTTTGCCGATACTTCTGCGTTTATATATAGTTAAATACTTTTATATTTATAATACAATGAGAATATTTTAATGTGAAATTCGATAATATTTGTTGTAAATATTATTATTTTACCATATCGTATGAATCAGATAATGAAGCTTTCTATACGCTAAAATTTATCAAATAAAAATGCTTTATTTAATCGATTGGATAACGCGAAAACAATATTTTAGTGTTTAGCTAGACGTGTCGTCTATAAACATTTCGCGATGAATAAAGAAAAATGATAATAAAGAAAATAAAAAAAAAAAAGATTAAAAATTTCTTTCTTTTAATTATCACGCAACGTAATTTTTTTAGCCTAAGAGAAAGTAGTCAATTACAAAGAAGAAAATTAATTATATCGGCATTTCATACAGGCCTTATACAACATTTGAAATATTGCAATTTTTTTTGAGTAGAAATCAGCAGATTAATGCACATTATACAATGTGTCACTTGTATCAAAACGATAATGTTAAATAAAGAATAATCGATAATTTAATACCAAAGACAATTATATGTACATTCTATATTGGCTATAGTTTTTTTCTTTTGTTTTGCCATTTACCTTATTATTTTGATTTTTCATGATGATGTACAACTTCGTACGCATATTACGTGTATTGATGTGTGCGTATCCTGAAGAACACCTACGTGTTTGAATAACTTATTTTTATATTTGTAATCTTTTCAACTATCGCGTCATTACTCCAACGGATAGTAATGTTAACACGTTTAACTAAAATTTCACAACTTTTAAAATTATGTGTAAGCAAATTTCATTATTTCCATGAAAAAGAGATACAACGAATAAAAGCACTTCTTACTTTAACTTCGGCCAGTATGATTGTGAACTATAGTAAAAACGGATCTTGACTCTTCTTATCTTTCTCGGCTCTCTAAAGTCACTTTATAGATGAGAAAATCTTTTCAACCGAAAGATCTAGTTAATGAGCTGTAATGCAGTATACGCTGAGCTTTTAAGTACACGTAAGCTTTGCATTGAATGGCATATTTGAAAGTTATACTTCTCCTCAAAATTCAATTCTCAGAATGCATTGTTTTGTAAATAATGATTTACAGAAAAAAAAGTACAAAAAAAAAAGTCGACATGTACTTTAAATTTATTTAAAAAGTGTTTTCAACGGATTTATATTCAGTAAAAAATGGAAAAAACTATTCTATTACTTAATATTAAGTATATAATTATTATTTTATATCCAGAAGTTTTATATTAATATTATATTTTCATATAAAAATCATATTTAATGTACATTTTTCTTTTTCTTCTTCAGTTTTAATATAAAAATTCAATCAATACGTATTTGTACAATTTTCACGGACTTTGAGTAAAGCATTTGTGTATTGAAATGCACGGTACATAAATATTTTATATCCAAAGATTAAGAAGATTAAAAAAGAATGATACGTTTCTAATGTAATAAATGACTTACTCGTTATCGCATTGGTCATGAGTTATTGCAAGAATCGTTGTGTGAGATTTCCAAAAATATATTTTTCATAAAATAATCGGTAAATGAAGAAGCATTTTACCAGCTTCTCCTTCTTCAATATTTCATATTCTATATCAAATTTTTATATATCTGATATGAAATATATATTTTATACATAAATATTTATTGTATAATAATTTTAATACAATGTGTTCTCAAGTGATTAAAGATTTTCTTAATTTTTAAAGAAATTCCTCGCAATAAGAAAATTATTTATCATTAATTTTATTCATTGTTTTAACCTAAAGCATATTAAATCTCTATCTTTCAAAAAAAAAAAAAAAAAAAAAAAAAAAAAAAAAAAAATTAATTAAAATAAATAAATACCTAGATATGCACATAATTAACGAAAATGATTTTAAAAATAATTTAATATTCTTAAATATAATTTTAGAATCTTAATTATTCATTTAGACAAATTGCTTTTATTGTAAAACAGAATTTATAGTAATGGAATAAGGGTCGTCTTCTTATAATATTGGCTCAAGCTTAATAATGCACATGAAATTATGATATGCATCTAAGGTGGATATCTATATATGCAAATTGCACTCGCACGATTATTTGGTTATTTAGGAGGTAGATGTAAGACGATGATATTCCGTGCTCTAGCATGTTATTACTATCTTGCTTGCTCGCTATATCGATATTTGTATAATGTGAATTCTAAATAAGATTTTGAATTGAATTAAAAAATTCGTTGTATTATCATAATTAATTAATCGAATTAGTAGCTACGTACTGTGGAGAAAAAAATGATAATTTTATTATCAAACTTACCTTTACATTATATTAAAAATTTTTTCTTTTATAACAATTTAGACTTTGATTTGCTGTTGTTTTGTAAATAAGCCTTCCTGTAAATACTCTTTCCTACAAAGGAATAAAGGGGGATGGGGTGGGGTGGGCGGGCACATAAGAAAAGTACGATAAATCGTAATATTTAACAAAGTGTTTTTTAATACATCATATATTTAATAGAGAATTTTTAATTATTTGTCTAACTAAGACTGATTGGTCATATTTGTGTAATATTTCTATCATCATCAACTATTTAATGTTTATGTTTCATACATATTGAAATAAACTAAAATATTAACATTGAGTTTAAATAAAGATGATTTTATCCACACTTTATATCATATTATTTATTTGCCGCTGTGCTTCTTATAATTGCTGCTATTTTTGAAATGGCCTGAAATAAGAATTTATTCGATCGTTATAATATTGTTGACAAGAGTGATTGATATGTAAAGTAATAGACAGAGAGAGACAGATATAGATACAGATAGAGATATGTTGATAGATGGAGAATTAATATATGCAAAATAGACAAAAATAGCTTTCAAAAATAATTATCTTTATAAATCGCTTCTTTATTTAAATTACTCACACTTGAAAGGTATTTTCTAATTCCCATAAAATGTATAATCGTCTTACCCATAAATTTATGCTCAATGTAATACGAATGTCAAGTGGGAACTTATTCACTTATAATTAATTTAATATTCGTCTCTCGGCGTGTGCATAATTACATTATAAAAGCGTCATAAAATGAAGCGAAAGCATTTATTTGTATATTTCCAAGTGCGTGATCAATAAAGGATAGTTTTGGAAGCAATTCTCTCGGGGCGTGTGGTGAATAAGTAAAAAAGAGATAAAGGTAACCTCTTCAACGACTTCGGATTTAATATGACTATAGGCCAGCCGTAGGTATTGGCAAGTCTCGTCATTTTTTGGATAAAAGCAGTGCCCCGGCAGAATGTAAAGGTCCTGCATCATGCACTTAATCATTGCCAAGTCGTACGTGTCTTCCAATACGGTTATCTTCAGCCACACGAACATTCCGCCCCTTGGTACCGACCATTCCGCAATACCTGCGAAATTATTCAATCGTTCAATCGTTCAGACCCCTTTGCTCCGCGTCCGCTGAAGGGCGCACCTCTTTTCGCGACAATTTTCACATTTCAGTCAATCGAATCAGGCATTGTTTGCTCCGATTAGCTGCTGGCAAATGCCTTTCTCAAATTTATCGCATATTATTATCTAATCTCACATCAATTCACGAACTCTTATTAATACGACTTTAGCAGTTAAATATTATTGTAATTTATTATAGCATGCATTATAATTATCGCGTATCTTTCAATTATCGTGTGTTAAATAATTTTCTTTATATATTTTATTGAAAACAGTTGGCTGCAAAATTTATTGGCTTTGGGAATTTTATAATAATCGTGAAATATTCGCGGGCCAGAGAGAAGTTCGTTAATTTTCATATATCTCAATTAGATATAGTTATGCAACAATATATGGCATTGCATATCGATGGATTACCTGTGAAGTGCTTCTCGATAGCCTTTAACATTATATCGCGCTTATCTCGATAAAACTTTTGAATCTTCGTGAAATGTGCCTGTACGTCATCATCGTTCCACGAGCTTAAGAGCGAATATACGAGCATCTATAGAGAACAAAAAGCCGTGCCATTTTTACAATAGATATTTTATTTTTATCGTGGAATATTAAATATTGTATAAGGCCTTTTCCTTCTTCGACATTTATTAAGATGAATTCGATGCAACGAGTCGCATATGTTTATTTAATAAGTAATACCTTGGGGGACAATTCAAATGATTTAAGTCAGTGAGGAGCTCGGCAATCATATATTATGTGTTAACGCGAGATAAGAATGATTAAATGGTAAACAGGGCCATAAATTATTAAGCAATTACCGAGTTAATCTATGCTTAAGTTTTCGAGACTACAACAGTTTTGTTGTAAGAAAGCATGAAAATTTCACGAATAATGCTAATATTCATCATTAAAGGTATCGAGATTTTATAAAAAAAATTCTCATAAAGATATATAATCTATAATTTACTCTCTTCGATTTTTCTTTCTCTAGAAAATCTCTAGAAAATTTTGCTCTTATCACGTCAATAACATAAAAACGTCAAACAATCGTAATAGCATTATTAAGCATTGAAATGAATATATATATATATATATATATAAATATTATTGCCAATTTTTATCCAATATTTCGCAGTTAATTTTAAATATTTTAGGCGAAAAATAGTGAGAAAATATGACAAATAAATATGCACTCAAACATAATGATTAAGACTCGTTGGATCAGCGTCAAATGTCGAAAAGAATCCCATAATTCCCATAATACCTGCAGCCGTTTATCGTATTACCATTAGCATGATTATTTTGCCAATAATAAAGTACAAATAAAATAAGAAGCAACGCGCCGAGACACTTTTCACTTAACTTGAGATAGCGCCGAGGCGTGAATGGTGGAGCAATTGATGTGCAGAGCGAGTTTCTCGAGGAGCGGCTGCGGTCCGGTAACAACCCCGAGGCGCAAACCCGCGCTGATGATCTTACTGAAGGAGTCGAGTCGCAAGACCCGGCCGTCCGTGTCCATCGACAGAAAAGAGCGCGGATTCTCGTCGAGGAAGTGCAGGAAGTAGTAAGGATCGTCCTCCAATATCAAAAAGTCGTATTTCTGAGCGAGCTTGTAAATTTTCTCCTTGCGCTCGTTGGTGTATACCGTCCCAACTGGATTCGCGCCAGTTGGATTCACGTACAGGAGCTGAATTATTTTTAAACATTTTATAATGGGACCTGCCTTGTTTATTTTTCCGCAACGACATCTTTCGAATGGGTAAATAATTTTAGGATTTATAACGTATAATGATTTTTAACGATTAAGACGAAAAAATCTTAATAAATAAAACAAGAATCACAACCCATCCATTTTTCTTTGAAAATTAATAATTTTGCTCTGGATATTAATACGCAATGTATCGTGTAAATTAAAAACAATGATTTAAAAATTTAGCACAAACGAGTGGACGCACCTTAGGTAACGGCCTATTGCTTTTGATCCTCTCCTCGCACGCGTTAACGATATCGTTGGGCAAGGCCCCGTCGTCGTCCATGCGGATTGGTATCAAGTCGCTCTGCATAGGTACCACCTGTCGGAAAATAAATCAGAGTCGATGCCCGGAGCAAGGGAAACTCGAGCTCGGAAACGAAAGTTTAAGCCTAGAGATAATACCGTGCCGATGATGCCGACGAACGTCGGCGACTGGAGCATCAGCGGCTCTCCCTTTTCGATTATCATTTCCAATATCTTGCTGCAGCCCTCCATCGAGCCCGTAGTGAAGCACACATCCCAATTGTCGTACTGAAGCGAGTGCCATTTGCACTGAAATTCACGCCACTTTTTTTGCAGCGGTAGATATCTGCGAGCGCATTCGTTCGGTCCAAAGGGAAGCAAATCGTTACTTTCTTTATACGTTTTAACGTCTGCACGAACGAACGAGCATTTTTAAAGCTCCTCGTAGTCGTATTTATGAGCATTTAATATAGCAATAACACGTAATTAAATAATTGACTAACAAATTATGCTTATATATTTAGACTCGCGCGTTACTCAATTATATGTAAAGACACTGTATCGTTGGGTAGTTTGATAAAATTATTTTTGTGGTCATTTTGATATGAAATTTGACAATTTTTTGTTTATTTTTAGAAGCTTGCCGTTGTTAAATTAAGCCATTCTATTCTTATATTATATATTTGTATATTATAGTTTTGCGTTGTAAAATACATCACATAGCGAAATAGAATATCTTTGTAATTTCTTCCATCGAATCTTCTACTTTTAATTTCTTTACATTCTTAACACAACATAATTTAACAAACGCAATTTCCGATTATATATATTATTAATGTAAAATTTCATTTCTTCTAATTCAAAAATTGCATTCTCGAGTTTTAAACAATTTTCAAATAAGATAACCATTAAATCACCATGCATTATAGTACTTAAGCTAATTTAATTAATTGTATTAATACATATGTGTATTTTACAGACTATTAAACAATAGACTGAGCGATATTTCACACATTAAGCGACAATTCGATTGATTTATCGTTAAAAATTCGAAAAATTCGAATGCAGTATATATTCATTAGAGAAAGAAAAAAAAGATGTGCAAAATAATTTGTTTCGCAAATATTTCATCAAAGTTTCTACTAAAATGCTCATTAAAGCATGCGCAGTCACTTGAAATATTTCATGTAAATGAGAATGTCGACCATTCACAAATGTGTATTTATATGGTTAATGTACTTTGATTACTGATTCTTGAATAATTAGTGATCGATGGCGCAGTTATTGTTGCAAGATGATTTTATTATTATAATATATACCCGGCTGTGGGCCCATATTGTAGAGCTGAAAATAAATCGGTGCCTGTCAATACTTTCCTCATATCATCGCTGTAAGTGACAGATATTTCTTTGAACGGAAACATCGCTGTATTCGGCATACCGCCAGCAAAGTTCAACGCTGTTGGATTTTTTAAGGATGCTGCCGCTAAACGGAAACGTAAGATCAATGAGAATTATGTAACGAACCCCTTTCAATAATAAAATTGTTTAAATACATACATTAAATCTATGATAATAATTCCCATAACTAATAATCATACAATGAAAATTACAATAAGATTAATAATTAATTATTAATCATATAATAATTATATAAAATTTTAATAATAATGAACTTATTCTAATTCTTTATATCTTATAAATGCACACTTTTGGCATAAAGTACAATGGAATAGGAAGGTAATCGATCGTAATTTACGATAAATTTAGAATATCAGTAAATCTATGCTTAGAAAATATTCGATTGAAGTGATTAGAAAATATATTATTGGATTGATGACACGATTATCAATATAGAACAAAAAAAAAATACAATGAAAATGTAAATATATTACGTATTTGATCTGATATTTGTAAGAATAGAATCAGTTAGCACATCAGTTATGCAATGGATATGTAGCAATAATAAAATAAAAATCAAAGAGTAATCTGTAAAAAAATTAAGATACGAAAAAAAAATTTAATAAAAAATATTTCAAAGTTTTGATTTATTGAATACATAAATAAGTGCATCTTAGTCTCCCAGGCTGCCATACATATCTGAAATTTATATTGTGCAACAGCTTTTTATTAGTAAATATAGTCGACTTTTATAAACAATAATATGGGATAAAAAGTCTAATTTAAAAGACATCAACGATTATAAGATGTAGAATATTTTACTTTTAACCAACCCAACTTTGTGCTAATTTTATATCTACTAATTAAATATATTGTTACTTATCATTGAAAAAAAAGAAGAAATATTAGCTACCATTTATATTGCAAATTAGAACACTCATATTTTATTATTAACAATAGTGGAATTACAGTAATTTAATTATAGTCTTTGATACATTGGCTTTTAAGCAACGGCAGAACAATAATTTTATTCTTTATTTAATTTTTATAAATTGCTTTTACCAATATTTTCAATTATTCTAATGCTATTTAAAAAACAATGATATGCAACCAAACTTAAAAAATTTTTTTAGTATATATAAAGTAGAACTTTAATTTGTTATATATAAATTTAATCATATTGCATGAAAGTTTTTTAGATGTTTTTCTATGTATGTATATATAAATTAATATATTAGCAATAAAATAAATATGATTATAATTTTCCTTGAAAGTCTATTAAAGTTATTGTTAAAGAATATTTAAGCAGAATTTTCTGATTTGAAAACTTGGGTTGTTTAGTAATTTCTAAAATACAAGTTAAATATAGAATTTTTATCGTCACAAATTATTGTAAAGATTTGAAAAATACTCGAAATATTTGCTCTAATTTATTTAAAATGTATGTTTTTTTTTTTTTTTTTTTTTTTACATATTTATACGTATATTATAATAATAAATGATTGAAATTAAATTTAAAATTTTTGTAAATTATTTATGTAGCATTTTTCTTTTTCAATTTTAGAAAATCTTTTAATTACAAAGATCTAATGTAAGCAATAAATATAAACATTATATCAATTTTATTACAATCTCAGTAATTGTTTTTTTAAAAATTTGTTTAAATGGATATTTAAAAAATATGCGAATACAGAAATAATTTTGATAATTTAAATTTTTTTTTTTTTTTAATCAAAGGTAGAGCAATAATTTTCAGATATGAAAAATGCTTATTAGTTCATTTATTCTATAAAAGTGTACCTTATATTTTGTAAAATATAGTAAACATTTCATTTGAAATTAAATTTTTTAAAATTTTTAAATTTTAGCAGTATAAAATTCAGCTATTAAAATAATTGTTTAATTAAGAATATTTGTATGTGATTTAATTATTTATTTTACTGTAAGATAAATGGCAATATTTGTATTTAAAAATATAATGCTAATTTGTTATCTTCCAAATAGGCATTATTATATGCTATAGGAATAATTGTGTTAAATGAATTGGATTAGTACTTTATTATATTATTATTGTTGCTGTACTTACTGAGATGCCTAATTAAATTTGGTTTCCTCTTTTTCGTTATCGTGGTAAGAAATTTTTCGTAGTTCATGATGCTCTATTCGTTGTCCTTTTTAAAATCCACCAAATTTATTAATTTTATTATTAATTTAAACGCATGCAAAAACTAAATAAATCTAATAACAGAGAACTGTTAAACGGCGCTTGACGAATTTATTCGTGCAGTGAAGTATTTCTGACACTGCTGCTATCGCACTATTTTACTAAAAGTGTTGATATTTATTTGTAGCTTATGAAATCTTAAGCATTATCTAGTTTTATTTTGATGAATTTGTTATCAAATACCAAACACTTTCACTTTCACGAATTAATTTTTATCTTAAATTAAGCAAACATCTATCGAACTAATATAAAACAATATATGAACCGAGTTGACACGAATATTAATTGTTCGAACATTAATTAAGCGTTATTTCTATATTTAATACCGTTTACTTTTTGTTAATAACTTATATCGAGATAAAAAAATGTTTGTCACGATTCAATTTATAATATTTTATTTATTAATTTGAATTTTATTGGCAAAATAAAGATATAAAAGATGATGCTCTTTTGATAGTATTATTTCATAGACCGAAAAGTTATCTTTATTGTCGTTTTATTAACTATTTTATTAAAAATATTTTATTGTAAACGCTAGTGATTATTTAAATAAACATTAAATAAAAATATCATTTAAAAATCGTAATTGATAAATAATGGTAAAGACAATAAATTAAAGGAAATAGCACTTTAAATATATTTATAACATTTATTCCAATTCTTCAATATGTCTTTTATGAATGTTGGCTTTAAGTGTGGGTTTTTTTTTGTTTTTTTTTTTGTTTTTTTTTTTTGTTTTTGTTAATGCGAACATGTTTACAATATGTTTGATCCATTTATTAAATTGTATCTTGCACTCGTTGTGCATAAATCTTGACCCTTAGCTTTTGTCAATCGCTTTACATTTCTTGTTAACATTCGCAGATAAATTTGTCAACAACTTAATTTTTATATATTTTGCTGCATTAAAGAATACCTCATTCAAATCTCGTGCCGCTTTTGTAATCTTATGCGCACACCTCCGTTACATTTTAATTTCACGCACGATAAATCGAACCTACAGAGTTTGAGCACCGCTAATATTTTATAATTAACAATCTAACGAGATGTTGACTCGTGTATTTTTTCATTGGACCACTTCTCGAACGGAACGACGCTTATAAATATATTTATTTCTTCAGTAAGAAGAAAAGGAAAACACAGATGAGAACGAGTTTGCTTCTAGAATAGTAAGTTAAATGCGAATTTTTTATGTTTTCTAAGCGTTAATGATGTCAATTCAAAAATAACAAAGAAAATATTTGGAATGTCACATTCGGCCGTCCATACATTCGTAGATATCGCATTACGGTTTACGTATATTATAAATACAAGTACTAATAAATGCCAGTTATCTTTTAAATTATGAAAACTTTAAATAAAATTTAAAATTATATATCACTTAACAAACTGTGGTGTATTTTAACTCGATATATTTTTCATGATTTAAATAACACGCGTAATATCTATTAACCAGCAATATGTATGTATCGGTAGCTTAAATTTCTTATAATACAATTTGTTAACGGATTAAAATTGCAAATTTTTTTATTCTCATAAAGCAATGATCGTTCGTTAGTCATAAATAAATGAACGTTATATATATAATTTTTTTAATTTAAAAAGTAAATAAATGAGATAGGCGGTAGTAGGTTTGGATGTATATACGGCGTTGCGGTCGAGAAGCCCCCAATTTAACTTTCGAGGCCATTGTTTGTCAGTTTTCCAGTTTTTCACATCTCTTGTGTACTCATATTTTACCTCTCGTTCACACTGTACTTTTAACGCTCATATATTTAGCCTTTGCTCATTTGTGCCAGAACTGAAACGTATCTTGCGGTATGTTACTTCTTTTTATTATTTTGCGTCATGCGACTTTTAACCTTTATTGTATATTTACAAAAAGTAAATTCTTAACGATTATACTTCACCTAATTACGTCACTTTACAGTCTAATTACAAGTCCACTTTTTAAAATGTTTTATTTAATCTTTTTTATTACTTCATACTGTTTAACATAGATATAACGGCGTCTCAGTGAAAGCATTTTAAAAACACGTTTTGTTTATCGTGTTTCTTTATCTCCGTTTTTTGTAGTATTTTTTTACTATCTTTGCTTGCTTGACGATAATGAGCAAGCATATTTTTAATTTGTTCATCTAGTATATGGACAAACTCGTATAATTACTTGCATTTCTTTTTTTTTTTTTTTTTTTTTTTTTTTTCGAATTGTAACGGAAGGAATTTAAAAATATTAATCGTATATTGAATTTCTTCTATATAAAAATTAACCAGAGCGAAGTATTAAAAAAACATGATAATAAACGACAAGGAAAGTACTTTTTCAAAAATTCAGACTAACTGTTTTTGACAACATACTAAAAAATGTTAATTACGAAAATTCATTAAAAAAAACCATACTTAGCCAAACATGGAATCGTTGAGATTTATAAATGTCTTGTGTTCATATTCGGAGTGTATACTTCACGATTAGTTATTTTGGCACGAAATTTTACAAAATAATGAAATCATAAATTATATAATTATGAAAGAAAGATTAGTTTGATGCATAAAATATCGGTTTGCCGAATACAGAATGAAAATAGAAAAATTTCATGAATCTACATTTAATTCCGAAAGGTTATGAATTTTTAATAACGGAGTTTTGTGTAAAAGTGGAAATTTTAATTAATTCGTTGACCATGGATCTTCATTATTTTCTTTTTTTCTGTTTTATAATAAATAATGTACTAATAAATATAATGTACCAGAATTATTTTTAACAGTTTTTAAAACATTTACAGGAAAATATTTTATTAATGTTTTTTGCTTTATTAATGGATCTTTATGATGTTAATGAGAAGCTTTGAGTGCAAATATTTTTATTCTACTCATATTGTGTTAAGAATGCAGGTATATGCAAATTATTGTTAAAAATTATCGTAACGCAATAGGAATAAATTAGTTATAAAATATGATAAAGTGAAGATAAAAATATTAATATAACAAAAATATATATATTTTTTTTTGTAAAATTTACTATTCACGTTTATGATCATATTTGTTACATACTTAAATATAAAACTTTTTATGCTTAATTGAGTGATTTTTATAGCACAGTTTTTTGTGTTGATATTGTTAAGTAATTTTAATTTTGTTAAAATAGCTCGAGTAAGTTTAAAAATTTTAATTATAGATAGATTGAAAGATTTTTGAAACTTATTAAATGTTGTAAATTTGAAAAAATTCATTGGTTCTATTGTACATTATTTTAATCGTTTAAATTATACTGTAAGACAAATAAAAAAAATTATTAATGAAATAATCTTTAACTTACATAAATTTATTTATCTACCTATAAATATTTGAGTGTATAATACACATAGAAACGCCCATAAATGCACACACACACACGCACACGCACACCCACACGCGCACATATGTATATACTTTAAACAGAATATTTTAAGGAAGTTATGATTTAATGGTTGGAAATTTTTTTTTTTTTTTTATGTAATTAATATAAATTTTATTTTTAAATAAAATATATATGCGAAATTTAGAACGAGATGTTGGAGATAATTTTAGAGTATAAAGAAGATGAATAAAGTGTGTTATGAAAGAAATTTTATGATTATTATACAGATCGGTTATAATTTATGATGATAGTGCTTAAAATATTACCTGACAAATGAAAATATTTAATATTTTAATAGAAAATTTTTAAATCAAATTTTAAAATATTTCCGCTGCATATGATAGTGTATTAAAATAGTGTTGAAAATACTCAAATCAATAGTTTTCATTGAATGTTTCATTGATGATGTATTTAAAAGTTTGTAAGATACTATTTCAAAGATTTTTAAGTATCGACTACATATCGCTAATTTTATTAGGAATAAAATAGAAATTAACTATCTTAATTTTTACTATTAATGATGTATACAATTTATAATTTCATCAATTGTGAAACAATTATTTAGCTAAAAAATCTCATAAAATTTCATAAAGAAGATACGAGTGCTACATGTGCTCATTGAGGCTTTCAATGTATAATAAATTAAAATAGCCTACATGTAATTACTATTACATTAATTCTGATTTTAACTCCTTGTGAAGAGTTTAGAGTTTTCCATTTTTATTTATCTACTGGTAAAGAGTAGAAAAATTATAAAAGTACGAAGCTCTAAGATTATCACTACTAGATGAATCTACGATTTTGATTGTTATATTGTTGTTCGAAGTTCTTAATTTATGGTTTCCTATAGACATGTAGGGTATAGTATATAGCTTTGGGCATTATCATTGAAGTGTTTCTAAGCTCGTATTACGTTTTATATTTAAAACTTCATTACACTCTGATTAAAAAAATAATTAAATAAGCATTGTGAATGAAAATATATAGTCCGCAATGAAGTAAGAGTTTTAATAAAATGAATTTACACGTACTCGTGTACAACAATATATAGTTTTACAAAGATTATTTTGGCATGAATTACATTATGCATTATGTATTGGACATTTTACAGTTTTAAATGAATGGATGATACTTACTTAAATGAATATATTATGTGTAAGATAAATGAGTATGAACCAATTGTATTCAGAGGATTTTGCATATTGATAACAGCTCCAGTTGAAATATTTTGAGATATAGGCGAAAATTGTAAATTTGATAATTAAAGAATAGAATATGTTGCGAGAGGGAGATCATTGTTGAATAAAGACCAATTGTATATTGTTTTGCATTTCATATTTGATGTAAGAAGTGCAGGGAGAAGGCACCGGGGAAGTTTGTATAACCGTTTCATATTTATCATTTTTTTCAGTGGCTACAAAGTTCTATAGATGAATGACTCTATAAATAAGTAAATATTCCTTCTGCATTCTCATTCTCTATATACGTCTCTGTTTGTAATCTTTTCATAAAATTTATATTTCAATCTTAGACGGTTTGATTATTACATTTGGCAATTTGGCAGCTCTTGAATTTTTCTTTTACTGTTTGAATTAGAGCGATTCATTCCGAGGAAAATACAATACAACGTATATTTGAATTGAAAAATGATGATGAAAATATTTTTCAAAAACTGCTGGAATACTAGCAGCAAGTACTTTAATGATCATTATTTGTTGAATGTGTAAAT